TCCCCCCCGGCTGCCAGCCCGACTCGGCTGCCTTGATTTCTCCGGGCTCCTTCCCTCGCTCTACTCACTACTGACACCTAGGATCTCCAGCCTGATTGGGCTAATTGGGAAATTTCGCTGCCAAAAAAAAAAAAAACCCTAAAAAACAAAAAACCCGTATATCTCAAAGAATCAAACGCATCTCTCTCGCTCCTCGACCACCTCCCCAGAAAAACCTCTTCCCAGCAGCAGGGCTCCCCACTGCTGCATCCCTCTTCCTCCTTCCCTCCCTGCCCTGCCACTCTCCTCCATCTAGGACAAAGTGAGGTGCGGAGATCATCAGCCCGAGCGCAGGAGGGCTGGGAGGCTCAGAGGAAGATCAGTCTCTCAGCCTGGGTGAGCAATAATCCTAGAGAGCTATTGCAAGCTGCTCTGCTGTCCGAGTCTTCATTTAATTCCTGGCAGCCGGAAGAATAATAATATCTTTTAAAAGCTATTAGTGATCATTGCCTGAGTTTTGCACCTGTACCGTGGCTGGCCAGGCTGTCCTGCAGAGCTGCCCATGGCCGTGGGAGCTGGGGAGGGCGAAGCGAGCGCGTTTCCCCACGCAGACACCTGAACTCCTCTCTCCAGGTAATATCTGAGCTCTCCTCGAGTCGACAGAGTCAGGAGCAGAGCAGGCAGCAGATGGTAGGAAGGCAAGCGGCGCTCTCAGGGTGTTGATAGCAGCACATAGCAACAGGGCTGCCTCCCCACGGAGCCAGGAGAGCCCTGACGCTGTGACGATGGGCATCTTGCAACCGTCCAGGGACAAGGGGGAGCGAAGGGGAACTGATTGGGGAGTCCTCCTCTACACCTGAGGATGCTGGCTGCATTTACAGCAGGGCGAGGAGGGAAAAACCTTGGGTCTGGTCCTGCAGCCCCCTGCCAACATCCCCCCTTCCCTCCCCGGGCAAGAAGAAGGATGCAGAGGATGGATAGTGAAGGGCATCCCACCGCTTATGGTGAGCCACAACCATGATGAGAGGCAGGGACACCTGCCTCAGGAGACACCTCGTGCAGCCCCGAGCACAGCAGGGCTTCCCATCCTTACCGCGGCCTCTACCATTCAGGATTAATCCGAGCTTTGCACTTTTAATTATTTTAAATTTATGCAACCAAACACGGGGGCTGGGGGCTGTCTATTTGCATCCTCCAAGACATTTATTTTTAAACAATATCATGTTTTCCTTAAAACAAGTTTTATCTCTGCACTGCGTGCCTATGTGCCTGCGTGTGTGTGTTTTGCCTGAGCTCTGGTTTACATTTCCTGATGGATGGATGGGGATTCGGAGCCCCTTTTTTTAAGGTGGTGCATAAAATGTATTTATTATTCTTTATCTCCTGCCTCTCGCAAGGAGTCATTTGTTTTCATTCAGAGAAACGAACGCTATGCGAAGCCTGAAGAGTAATAACACAGCAAAATGACAACGGAAAAGCGAGACAGAAATCTGAAAGATACAATGGCAGGTTAGTAACCTCTAAAGATCACTGCTGTTGTGAACGGTACAGTATTATTTAATGTCCATTCTGGCTTGCAGCTCCATTTAATAAAACATATGAAAATCTCTGGGAATTTTTGGTCCTGCATTTAAAACAGGGCTATCCTGCTAAAAGAAATGGACAATCCAGATACCCTGAGATTACTTTTCACTGTTCGACAGGGAGGAAGAATTTAATACAAATTCTCTCTGTTTCTTAAAACAATGGCATGAGTCAACATATCCCTCCGCTGTTTGGGTTCAGAAAGGAGTGAGTGACAAATGAGACTTTTTTTATAGGCCTTTTCATGAACTCGGCAGCGGGGGTGGAGAAGGGTTAAGACTGGAAAACCCAAACGACCTCCCCTGACCTGCGAATAGCTGCAGTAAAAGGGCCCAAGGACACGGAGGGCCCCGGCTCACCCGGTCGCCATCAATGGGATGTTTTGCCGTCGACTTCGGTGGCAGCAGGCGCCCGAGCGCTGCGAGAGTGGCACGGTAATGGTCCTCGTCCTGTAGGATCTCCTCTTTGGCCTCCCACTGCTCATAACGCCCTAAATAAAAATAATACCCGGATGCTGCCCATTTCGGGCTCTCAGAGATTTCATCCGTGATGGTCAGCTAACAGCACAAGCATCCTTTCGTTTCACGTCTTGTTATCCAAACCACATACAGGGATCACTCATGACAGCACCCAGGGCTTCTGATTGCAGAAAACATGTATTTCTGTCTGAGGATGCACATCCGTACGCTTTAAGACTCAACTGCCTCGAGTTACAAAGCGTGCACGCCAATTTTAAAAAAATGAAGACAGGACGACCCTAGGAAGTTCCCCCCTCCGCCTCCCTGCACTGCCATTTTACAAGTTTGTTAAACCAAGCTGGTATTCCAGTTGCTAAAAGGCAGAGACGCTTGTTAAAGCCATCAGCTGGTCCTTGCCGGGGACTGGGTTTGCGCCGAGCGCCGGCGCTGCTAAAAACCTACATTGCAGCGCCACCTGCAGTGACCGGGATTTTTGGCAGCTCTGGAAATCCCTGAAACGGCGATAAATCTCTAAAAAAGTCTGAGGTTGGAGGGCTGGGGGCTTGGCTGGTGGTGGGAGGTGGGAGCCCCGTGCAGTGCTTTGCGCTGCTTTGCATCGCGTTCAGTCGTGCTGCGTTGCGTTGCGTTGCGTCGCTGCACGGTGGCGGGGCTAATGCCACCTCTCCACTCCCCCGAGGCCACTTCGCCCCATGTCCCCCCCAAGCCAGTACGATCCCACCCCTCTGTGCAGGCATCCCACAGAAGCACCCTCCACCAGAGGCCGACAAGTGAATTCCCTAAATACTAAATACCACGAGGAGATGACGATAAGAAGTAGGGCTGC